AAGGAAGGAAGGAAGGAAGGAAGGAAGGAAGGAAGGAAGGAAGGAAGTCCAACCCTCTGCTCAGGTAGGAGACCCCATCCCATTTCAGACAAGTGACACTCCAGTCTCTTCTTAAAAACCTCCAGTTATGGAGCACCCACAATTTCTGGTGGCGAGCTGTTCCGCCGATTAATTGTCCTCACTGTTACGAAGTTTCTCCTTAGTTCCAGGTTGCTTTTCCCCTCGATTAGTTTCTATCCATTGTTTCTTTTCTGCTTTCAGGTGCTCTGGAAAATAAATTGACACACCACCACCCCCGCCTCTCTGTGGCAGCCCCTCAAATACCGGAATTTAGACAGACAAGGCACCTTCAGAAAAGAGGAACTGACATTTAAACAGCCATCATTCCCATCTCTCCTCGCTCGCCCTCATCACAAAGACTGTCACACTCACCCCTCAAGAATGTCTCTGAACTGTGTTCCTCCTGTCACGGAGTTAAAACGAACCGCTACGGGTCAGATTGTTTTACAGCTTTGGAAAGTATGTGGTCAGCTAGTTTTTCTTCTTGTAAATTATTCACATTTTACTTCGCTATTTTGACCCCCGAAGGGTGGGATTTCTTGGAGGTTTTATTTTACGCACGTCCTACCTGTTTTGGCCAAAGTGGTATCTGTTTGGAAAGTAGGGGGAACCTGGAAGCCCCACAGAGAGTATCCTTAGGTGGAGGATTGGGGACCTCCCTACCCGGTATGGCTTTTATGCTGTCATGGCGGGTTGGAAGGAATCAAATGTGTTCTGGCGCAGGCTTCACAAAATCATAAAGCAGACTCCTTGTCCTGACAAAACTCCTTTTTGTTAGGCTAATGTGAATTTGTATTCACATCCAACAAAGTCCTGGAAAACAATCTTTCGAGAGTTAATTGCAACCACACACCTTATCAGGCTTGGAGAACTGCCAGGCCGATAGCTTCCAAGCGCAACGCTCTACAAGAAAATACTTGGCAAAGAATCTCTGAGAGTCATGAAAAAAAT